ACATGGCAAACCTCGAAGACCTTGAAAGATAAAGTGAGAAAAAGCCAGAAACTAATGGGCCCACACTGTAAGATTCCCTTGCATGAAATGCCTAGCACAGGCTAATCCAGACAGAAGGCAGGTGGTTTTTTCATAGGGGCTGTGAGGGGGAGAAATGGGGAATGTCTGTGTAGTGGGTCCATGGTTTCTTTTTTGGAGTGATAAAAATATCCTGGACTAAGACAGTCATGATGGTTGCATAACTTGTGGGTTTACTAAAAACCACTGAAATGCGTGCCTTGAAATGCTTAACACGATGAATTTTATGTGATGAGTATTTTATCTCAATTTTTAAAAAACAAGGTTAAGCTTAAATGTCTCAAAGATTTCTTGGAGCTCTGACTATGATTTAAGGAAATCTTTCTAATGCACAGTGAGTGTTCAATAAATATAAGGCAAATTGAAGTGAAAGAAACAAAGTGTGACTCTGTAGACTCCTCCATGTGGAGCTACGTGGTCAGATGGCATTTGCCGGATCCTTGCACAGTGTGGCCCTTGGGATAGTGTCTCCTTTAAAGGATTGCAGTTCACAGGTGATGTGCTGGTATGGGCATAACAACCCACCCTCCAGAAAAAATTAAAAACATGATATACAGGTACTTACTATAAATGTCACTGATATAAACACTGTAGCATGATTTAAAAATAATAATAAAATACATAATGCTTTCTACTGTAAATCCCATTGAGCCAATTGATGTTCAAGGAATGTTTTTGATGATTTTTGCTGAACTCTTATATTTGCTGCCAAGCAGTGGTTGCAATTGAACTGATTTAGCAAATGAAGTTGTGGATCATCCTCTTACTCTGTTTCCAATAAATTTATTGTCATTATTCCTATATGTAATCATTCTACTACATTATTTCTTACCCAAGTAAAATTATAACCATTAAATTCAAACCTCTTCTTGCTTTGGCACTGTGCATGTCCAAACTGCTTATTTGCCAATGCTGTGAATATCTCTGATGAATTAAATCATAATTTTTTAATATTGCAGAAATATTTCTTTGCTGCCTATCAACTTCTTCAGTCTAGCAGCCAACAAATCAATAAATCAAGCCCCAAGCTATCGCATTTGCTGATTTCATGGCTGGTTTGAAGCTACCACCTAATAGCACTGAATATGGAGTGGGAAGAGGAGCAGCATTATAAGGCATTTCCACATTACAGAGACAATAGACACAAATCACCCAAGGAACAGATAATGGTAAAATAATTATACAGCAATGAGTTCAAATTATTTATTCCTCTCTCTTTAATAAAATATATTTAGTTATAAATTCACATGGTTTAATTTTTAATAATGGCCATGTTTTTAACAACCAGCTGGTAACATTTCTATAAATTTAGCATGGGCTTTCATGTGCCATGCTGGATTGGACACACCAGCGGATATAACTGTAATTAGCAGCTTATCATACTTTTATTAGTTCAGTACCCCACCAGAAACTTCATAAATATACTCTCCTCCAGATTTCAACACTCTCTTAATTACAAACTCCAAAGTGTTTCTTTTTTTTTTCCAGTTAAACATTTAAAATTTATTAAACTTTTTGGTCAAAATAGTTGGAACAAATATATACAATCTTGTTTTACTAGAACTGTTTTTCCTTATGGACCAGGGTTGATTAATGCTTGAACAACTCTGTTCTACATCTCAGACATAAATTGTGTCACCAAGATACAGTATAATTATTTTAAATAAAATAAAGGTACTTTACGTTGTTAAATTTCTAACTCAATGTGAGCTAAGGTGACCTTCTGCTAACATTAATTCTGGGTAAGGATGTCTTATCCTTTCATATCATTGGTAATCAAACTACACCTTAATGTCAGCAATGGCATGTGAGCCCCGGCTCTACATCCCCCTGGAGGACACTGATCAAGCTCATGGGTTAAATCTCATGGAAGCAAGCTCCAGTCACTGAGTGCTGGTACACCTCTTTGTGTTGGGAAGTCTTGATTTTTGATATCATAGATCTTTTGAAATAAATCAAGGTACTGGAGGCATCATAATTAAAACTGTTAAATTCTGCTGGCTTGAAATGTGATATGAAATTTAGCATGCACATAATTTTAGCAATATTTTAAAACTACATTTCCCTACTTTTAAAAAAGATTTTAAAAGAAAGCACATAGATTTTCAATTGTAGTGAATTTGAGGCCTACTTTAAGCCAAGTGTTAATTTTATAGCAGCAATTACATTACTCTTGTATTTTTTTCTCAGAGGTGGACTCAGTTATGGCTTTTCCCAGACCTTACCTGGTGTAGCAGATGGACTGTTTCTACAGAAACAAAAAAAAAAGTCATGGCAGCTTGGAATAGTTATATTTAGAATTTGAAGTACTATACACATTCCACCCTTCTGCCAATGGACAAAAGTTTCTCAAATTATTCCAAAGAATTTTGTGTAATTTTATTATATCCAATTGAGACAAATAAAAAGACAATACTTATGTTTAGATTTCAGAACACTTTACAGTATGTTGTTTATTGAGTGGTTACACCAGAAGGTGTGATGGTTGATGGAATTAGTGAGTAAACCTGCCTGGCTCTCCTTGGGTACCAAGGGTAGGTACGCCCACTTGGCTCAGAAGGGCCAGCAAGGAACATGGGCAATGGCCACACCATGTCCAGGTGAGGGCCCTAGGATGGCAGAGAAAGATAGAACTGGAGACAGAAACATATTTGACAGCGCTTTTTCTCTTGGAGGTTAGGTTTTTGGTCTATAAACTGGAAAGGAAGGCTCAGACTTAAATAAATACATTTATTTTGAGTAATGGCCTTTATTGAGCAATGTCCACCAATTCTGCTTCAAGTGGGTTTTCCCCTTGCAGCAGCAAGCATCTCTCCCTGGGCTAAAGGCAGAGCAATGCCAGGATTCCAGCCAAGGTCGCTTCTTTCCTCTGTTATGAAGGGAAGTAGGAAGTGCATCTCTGTTCTTAATGGAGAGGACAATGCCTTTTCTTTGACAGAAAAACAACCGGCTTAACTATGTGAGACAAGACTTGGTCCTCCAGTTAGCTTCTTTAGTTGATTTTGTCCTGGAATATCTACAAATTATTGGTGGCAGCTATGGCAAGAATGTTCTCCATGGGGTACCAAGCTGTGTGAAGGATCTTATTGAAGTCCAGACTGTCCACACTAATCTCATCTTTCTTTCTTTTACCACCTGTACATACTTTTCAGGGTTTTAAGCTGGCTCCAGGTTTGCTGTTCTCTCTTGAAGCTTCCAGTGTAACATCCCTCCGAGTGTTTCTATCAAACATTTTAAAGAAGCTGTTGTAGGACCCCGTCATGATAACACTGTCTGAACCATTCCAGCAGCATTCAAACTTGTCAAAGATCCAGTCATGTTCGTACAGGGAACAGAGCTTGCTTTGCAGGTACTCATGCACCTGATGGTTCTCCACAGGCCTGCTCTCCATGTTAAGGTCCCAAACCTTCACAAACAGGTAGTCTCTCATCATCATGTATCGACCACTGTGGCTGAATTTGACATCAGAGATGGATAAAATTATTTCTGAGAAAAAGGACCTACTGCTGGGATCTTTGGGCTCTTCAAAAAATGTAGAATGTCTGTTGCACAGGGTGGAGGAATGCATGTCACATAGTTGGATGGTCCCTTTGCTGCTGCTGTAGACAAACACATTGCACTGGTGTGGGTGGAATTTGGCAGCGGTGATGACTTCCTTCAGCTCTTCCATGTTAACAGACTAGATATCCACTATGTTAAAGTTTCTATCTGTGATTTCTAAATCCCATAAGTTTATTCTCAGGTCATCTGCAGAAAGATATGCTTCCTGATCACTATTTACTGAAATGGAATTTATATGATATGTGTGAGCATTTGCAAAAATTCACTGTGGACTTGCTTCTACCATGAAGTCCATGGGCTTCAATAAAGGAACCTGAAGTGCTGTAATTCTAAATGGATCTCGAAGTCATCCATTTTCATCTTTCAAGTTACAACCTTCTGCTCTTTTATCCTGGTCACTTATTTTCCATAATTTAATAGTTTTATCATTTGTAGAGAGTAGAAAAGGAGCAGCATTCTGTTGTGGCAACCATTTAATTTTATTAATTTTGTCTTCAATTTCTAGACTTTTCAAATAGTCAAACTCTGGTTCATGACTTTGAAAGGTAACATTTTATTCTCCCCTAGAATGAAGACTGCTTTTATTCTCTTGTTCCTGTTGAAAAATAACAACTCTGCCACCCACCCTTGTCTCCTATTGCAAGAAGACCTCCAGAGTAATTAAATTCAACAGTTGAAATGATGTCAGCTTCCGCCACATCCTCATTGACTGCACCCTTCACCTGTGAGAAGCACCACTGGAAGTCTTGGCTGCCCTTTGGGCAGCCGCAGCCTCGGGCTCCTGACTTGGCAGCAGCGTGGGACAGGGCCTGCCCAGCCGAGCGCTCCCGACCCGAGGCGCCCCACTGAGTGCTCAGCTCTGGCTGCCATCGCAGCCCATTGCTTTTTTTTTTTTGCTGTACTGGGGTCAAACTCAAGACTTTGTGCTTGCCAGGCAGGCACAGCGCTGCTGAGGTACATTACGGGCCCTTTTCTCTCCTTGCTGAGACAGAATACCGACACCCAAAGTTAAAGGGCGAAAGGTTTATTTGGCTTACAGTTTGTCGAGGTTTCAGTCCATAATCAGCTGGCTCCAAGGCAGGGTGGCACAGAGGCAACAGTTCATGGCGGCAGGAGACGGCAAAAGCAAGAGACCTTAACAGTGTCTGCCCCTTTTATTTTATTCAGAATACTTAGGGCAAGCAGCACTTACACCCTTAATCCTAGTGCCCTCCAGCCTAGCACTGCACTGTGAATCAATCACACACTCTAGATTCAGCCATCTTTGAAAGGCCCCATCTAAGACCACATGAGGCTTTGGGGAGACATCTAGACACAATCCATAACACTCCACATTTTTCTAAAAAAGTGGCAGAGTGGAGTTCTAGACTAAAGCAGTTTTCTGAAACTTTGTAGGACTTCTCAGGGCCCTTAATATGCTAGCACGTTTGGAATCTTTCAGAAGAGCTATAGTATTCAGCTACTGTACTAGTTCAGCAGGACGTGATTTTGAAGACCCTGCTAATCTATTTGTGGATGTTGGGTAACATTGCAAGTAAATGACATTCACAAAAGTCTCGACCCCCTTCGGTGCACTTTCCAGCTGCCCAAGTTCCCACATGGAGAGGAGGACCCCAATCCAGCAAATCTGTCACTCGCCATGGTTCTTTGCTCACCTCTTAGGCATTTTGGGCTCAATCACATGTGGCTAATGTACACCCTTGGTCACCATCGTTGTCACCAGCAGGACTTGGGACCAGATCACACAGGTATCCTCAGGACAGTCACATCCTTATCTAGAGGGCCTCTTTGTCCACTACTGTGGCATGGCACGTGCAGAAGAGGCGATGGGGGAAATCAGTTCTGACCTTCCACTGCCTCACAGTCTCATCACCACCTCTCCACTTGCATTGCCTGACTTCACCTCCCATTGAAACTGTTTGTACTTGAATCTTTGTCTCTGTGTCTCCTGGAAAACCGTGAAAGAGACATCTGTGTAATGGGTTTCCTGCATCAAATGCTCCCTGATTTAAGTACTTTCATGGTTTCTGTTTCCCTTCTTAGATTTAGCTAGTACACCTCCACTCTGATGCAGACCCTCCCTTGTCCCAACTCTTGACCTTGAAGGAAGGAGGATGAGGCCTGCAGGGCCACTGTTCCTTAGAATGGCTCCAGAAGGTAGGTCTGGGGAACACAATGTAAATCAAGAGCCTCTGCAGGGAATCTTCATTACTATCACACTTGGCATCATTCAGTGACTCCACAAGATTGAATCCAGCTTGTTTTGGGTTCAGATGTTTTCCTACAGCAATTCATTCTCATAGTAGGTAACTTTTAAATCTCATTTCTTCTTTTCTCTAAGGATTAAACATGCCCATTTTAGTCCCTGAGCCATGTGGCACCTGCCAAGGAAGGAAGTCCAGTGAACCTTCAATAGGTTTTCTCAGGGCTATGAGTAGACTACTTACGAGTTTACAGCACCACACAAAAGTGTTGGAGGGGAATTTACATTTAATAGTTCACAAAAAGCATTTAAGTCACCTTCGTGAGAAGAAAAAGGTCCAGTATTTTGTTGCCCTTCATTGCATTTGTTTTATGTCTTGTGTCTGTTTTCTGTGACAGCTGTGCACTGAGTTACACAACTATCAGACAGATTTGCATTCTTTCATGAGAGAGCAATGCTGACCAATGGTGGAACTGTGTGATGTTGCAGCCTTGGGAGGAGGCACAAGGATAATTTTGATGCTGATGGTCTCTGTAGATTCAACCTGCTCTTGGATCTTTAACATACTGTGGCACTAGAAATCAAGAAGTTACCATTAACTGCATGGTCACCTGACTTGTAGGAGGTCAAGGAAATAAAGATGTGAACAGACAAAAAACCCCAAGGTATCCGAAGGAGCCCTCCAGGAAATGGGAAGCAGACTTGGTGCTAGGTGCCCAGCAATGTCCCCTGGAGCGTTTGTTCAGCACAGGGGGAGGCGGAGGGAGGAAAGAGCCCTTGGCTCACTTAGCTAATTGCAAGCAGAAGGAAGAGAAAAATAACATGATTAGCATGTTTCTCTCCTTCCCTTGATGACGATGACAGAGCAGGCAATCTTCTGTTTGTGCAGAGGGGCTCAGAGAGGGAGTGCTGAGAGCATCTGTTCTGAGAAACTGCTGTTCAAAATGGAAGGAAATACACAAAGCCAAGAGGAACCTCCGTCGTGAGAAGAGCTGAGAGGTGAGTCATGAGAACACTCAGGTTTTGTGGAATTTGAACCTGGGGACTGGCTCCGGAGGACCCGTGGTGGGATGGCTCCTCTTCCCTTCAGAGCTGAGGCTACAAGCAGTGGTCCTTGCTGTGACACTGTCCCTAAGGACAGACATGCCACCTACTTCTTCAGCTGACCATTTTCACCTTTACTGACCAAAGCTGTCTGTTGGTAGCAAATCTTCTGGCTGAGTTCGTGTTCACCTCCATTCTTTGCTCAGTGGGAAAAGTAACTACTGCTGTCCCCCCTCACTCCCTAAAAATATGTCCAAGACCTCCCAGTGGATGCTTGAAACTGTGGAGAACACTGAACCCTATATATACTATGTTTTCCCTATAAATATAAAGTTTAACTTATAAATTGGGCATAGAGATTAACAACAATAACTAATAATGAATAGAACAAATATAAAAATATGCTGTAATAAAATTGTCAGTAGTACTACTCTTGTGCTTTGGGACCAGTATTAAATAAAGATAAAGGTTACCTGAATACAGTCACTGTGCACCATGATAGTTGACTGTTAATCAAGAAGATCACTAAGTGACTAAGGTGGGCAGCATATACAGCATGGAAACGCTTGTCAAAGGGGTGATTTACATTCCAGGTAGGACAGAGTGCAACAATGAGATTTCATCCATGTGCCATTGAAAATTTATGGATTATTTCTGGGATTTTCCATTTAATATTTTCAGACTGTGGCTGACCTTAACTGAAACTGTAGCTAAGGGAGGACTCTGTACTTTTGATGGAAAATAAGGGGACATGTGTTTTGAATGGATGAGATTGCTGTGGGCCCCAAAGTCTTAAAGGACTCTGTGTATCTAGGCAAATAAGAACTCATCCAAAGGAGCCTGCAAAATGGCCTGCCAGTCAGCCCTGACTTCTGAACCCTGGCTCTCTTGAGGGAGCAGGCAGGAGCAAGGTCCCATTTTCACACACCTATGGCAGCCTTTGATGTTCAGATTCATCATCTGAAAGCCCATCTGGCACAGAGTTATGAGGTGGCCCTGAACTTGGTAGATACCTTCTGATGGTGTTTGCATCCCAACTTAGTTTATTTGTAGAGCAGACTAGATTGTAAGTGAGTGTGTGTGTGGTGGCGGGGGGGCAACAGCAGTCTTTGCATTCTCCTGTCCACTTAGGTTAATGCTATTCTGACAGTAGATGCTTCATCGTTACTCCTAGTTGTGCATAACTGGCCCTTAGAGCTTGTACCTATCCCAGGTAAGCAAACCAGTCTTGCAAATAAGAACAGAATATTGAACAGTTTTCTTTCCACACAGGAACTTTATTCCTCCTAGTCACTGGCAAAAAGGATAATTTTCAAATCTCTTTTCTTGTAGTAAAATGAGAGTAATAATAGAACCTTCTCGTAAGGATTTAATGAGGCCAGGCATATAAAACAGTATCATACCTAATGCTGGCTGCCATTTTTATTCTTATCATTGGTGTTATTGTTATTTCTAAGATGAAGCCTATTTTCCCTTGGAGTTCTGAGAGCATGGGAGCGCTCTGGTCCTCTCCTATGAAAGAGAAGAAGGCACTATACCCATGTGGCTGAGGCTTAGGAAACCTAGTCTTTGCCACCCTGAGACTTGGCTGGCTCCCTGGCAGCTATTTCCACTGGCTCAGCAGTTGGTTTCCACACCCTGACTGTAAACCCAGTGCTATCCATAGACATCTATCTCTCCTTCTCCTGCTACTCTGGCCAAAGTTGCCAATTCTTTGAGGGAAGTCCTGCCTGCAGCCCTGCCATGGCTTTGGGTGGACATTTCCATTTTCTTTCAGCTTGCTTTGATGTCACGACAATGTATTCTCTCACACTCCAGCTGGAGTTTATTTGCAGTGGCAAAGGCAAGGTTCCTTGGCTTACTCCTGTGCTCTGTGAAACCATAGCACACACAGCAGGATTTGAACATCATTTTGCCTGTAAAGTCCAAAAGGCAAGAAAGGGGTCTGGCAGGATGACTTTGGTTTTTATCACTTGCCTTGTAAGAAAGGCCTTCACTGAATTATATTTCGATGTGTCCAAGTCTTTTAAGATCAAGGGTTAATGTTTTTAACAGTCATTTAAAGAATGTTTATGTGTCTTCTGCATCCAATGTAGGACACATTGTTATTTGCTGGTGCTGATACCAATAAAAACATCTTCCATTTGGAATATGATCATTACATCACAAGTCACATCATGGGCGAGGTAAGAAGGTGAGAGGTGGCATTATGGAGGAAATGAGGCTCAGTGTTCCAGCTGCTGGAGCTGCTCTCCTGCAAGCCTTCCTACTTAATTAGCTAACAGGCTATTCCAGGTGTAATGAACTACACAGTAAAGTCTTCTAACAATGAGGCGCACAAAGGTTTCATTGCCTGCTTTCTGTTATCAAATCATGATCTCTTTGGCTTCAGGCTCTCAAGGAGTTCTGAAGCAAATGTCAAGATCAGCTGTGACCGTAGCCATTTAGACTTTCAGAATCTGAACTTCCCTATTCCGATTTCATTTGATTTTTCTATTTTCATTTTAATGGTCTTATTGTTTATGTCCTTTTGTTTTCTGACACTTCAATCATTTGGAAAGTAAAAGGAAAGACATGTTAAGAAACACAAATCAATCCATCAGCCATTTCAGTTTTGTCTAGTAGGAAAAAGGACCACAGAATTTTTCTTTTGTTCTAGATGTTTTGTGGTTCTGTTTTCTTTTTGGGTTTTTTTTGGATTAAATTCTTTTATTGGTACATTGTAGGTATACAACACAATGACATTTCTCATTGGGAATTGTACCTTTACATAATGCATCTTGGTTCTTATTTTTTCCCCATTCCTAGCCCTCCTTTCATGCCCTCCACCCTTCCCTATTTACAAAGACTTTATTTCCATTTTTTCCATTTCTCATCATTTTTTCCTTTCCCTTCTTTCCTTTCCCCTGCCTCTCCCACTACCCCTACCCCTTTGGACCTTTTCTTCCTATTTTACATTATCGATTATTCATTCTACTCATTGGCACATTTTAGGTATACAATATAATGACATTCATCATTGGAAATTTGCACCTTTACATAATCTCTCTTGGTTCTTATTTTTCACCCTTGCCCAGCCCTCCCTTCAGCCCCTCCAGTCCTCCCTATTTACAAAGATTTTGTTCCTATTTTTCCATTTTCTCATATTAATCCCATTCCCTTCTATCCTTTCCCCTAGCCCTCCCACTTCCTTCCCCTTTGCCCCTTTTCTTCCTATTTCACATTACCTATTATACATTTAGTCCATATTTACACTTTCAGTTTCTCACACCAGAGAAACTATTCAGTATTTACACATGTGTGTCCTATTTATTTCACTTAAGAGTATCGCCTCAATGTGCATCCACTTAGCTATAAATGTCTCTAATTTCTCATTTTTTATGGCTGAGTAGTACTCCATTTTATAAAAAAACCACATTTTCTTTATCCAGTCTCCAGTTGATGGGCATTTGGGCTGTTCCCAAGTTTTAGCTATTACAAACTGGGCTGCTATGAACATGGGTGCACATATATCACTGTGGTATGATTCCCTTAATTCTTTGGGGAAGATCCCCAGCAGTGGAATAGTGGGGTCAAATGGGACTTCCAGTCCTAGTTCTTTGAGGTTGTGGTTCTGTTTTCTAGGGAAAGATCTCTTCAGAATAATGTTGCCAGATAAAATATAGGATGCCTAGTTAAATTTAAATTTTATGTAAATAATGAATAATTTAGTATATGTTCCAAATATTGGATACTAATTTTTATACTAAAACTTATACATGGTTTAGTTGAAATTCAAATTTAAATGGATGTCCTATATTTTGTCTGCTGATTCTGACAATTGTGTGATAATTCAAAGATACAAAGATCCTAAACACATAACTTGCTTTTGCATCTCTGCATATGGTTTAGTAAGGTCAAGGGTGAAAAACTAAAGCAAATTTATAATAATAACTTAAAAAGTAAAACCAAACCCTAGAGGTGAGCTGAGCACTTTGGAAGTTGGGTTTTGAGCTTTTGGCCTTTGGAAACAGGCTCACCAGCTGGTAGTTCATTGTCCAAGCCCAGAGGCAGCATGATGTACTGAGGCTGGGTGGGTTTGGGGTGCTGCAATCTCCTGCTAGAGGTGGTTTCTAGGTTCTTTCTGTCCTGAGCAAAGAATTGATCAAGATAAGTGCAACTGGTAGCGAGGTTTTACATTTATGAAAGATAGGAAAAGAAACAGGCTCTGCAGAGCGAGTTTGGGCCAAGTAAAAGTAGGAAAATAAGTACACTCTACAGAGCTAGAGCAGTTCACCGTGAAAGGACACAGTAACCTTGAGGTCCAGGCCCACTGTCCTTTTCGTATCTCCCACTGCTCAGGCTGAGGTCAGGTCTAGGCCGTCCTATCAAGACCCTGCTTGAGTTCTGAGAGGAGTCCACATGCAGAGGTTTGGGAACTGTTCTGCACACAAGTCCTGGGATTTTGTAACTAATAGGTCCCGCCTACTTTCCCAGCTAGTCTTTGCCACGCCCGCGTCTCTTGCTTCAGTTTCCCAGGGGCCATTAGCCATCCTTGGCTGGACCTACTTCTTCAGGATAAGTCAGCACATATTTTTTCCCAGTTTTCCCAAATATTTGATTTATTAATTATTCAATTACAAATTTAACTTCTGTTTCCCCAGATGTCACATTAACCTCAATTACACTGACTCCTTGATTCTGTCTCTTTACTCCCAGCTCCATGTAAAAGTGGCAGATTCCTTCTCCATCTCAATAAAAAAAAAGTCTCCCATTTTCTACACAAGAGATCCCAGAATCCTCTCCTGGTGCCCTCTAGTCTCCTCATCATGGTTGCAGCCCTCAGCCACGTGGGTAGGCCCAACCACTGTAACACCATCAGGAAGCAGACTGGCATAGCTGCCAGCTCCCTCCTCAATGGCCACACATCTTCCAAGCCCCACATTCTCCTCCTCCTCACTCCTGAGCCCTGCCACCCTGCTAATGTGTACACCCTACAGGGCCTGTTCTTGGGCCCCCACAAATCAGAGGGCTTTGAGACTTCTTTGCCTGGATGGAGTTCTCCCCACAGGGCTTAAGTGGTCCATCCCTTGGGCCTGTCAGAGGACAGTCACCTAATATCTGCCTTCTTTCCAGCAGAGGGGAGAGCTTGAAGTATTATAGGCAGCTAAGATAGATAGAAATATTATAGGTAGTCAGACAGAGCAGGACCCTCAAGGGAGTCAGTGTAGATGAGGACACATCAAAAACTGACTGGAGGCACATCTGAAGAAGATTAAGGTCACAATGGCCAGATTTACATTCTTACTTAAGGAAGCTTGAGATTATTGTTACCACCCCTTTGAGATTTCCCATATAAATAAACCATTATCTCATTAGGGGCAGGCCATCTTCTCCCACCCACTAAGACTAAGACTGCTAGCATTGGTATCTTCCCCAAAGAATTAAAAGAATCATACCACAGTGATATATGTTCACCCATGTTTATAGCAGTACAGTTTGTAATAGCTAAAACTTGGAAACAGCCCAAATGCCCATCAACTGGAGATTATATAAAGAAGATGTGGTTTTTCTATAAAATGGAGTACTACTCAGCCATAAAGAATGAAAAACTAGAGACATTTATAGCTAAGTGGATGCACATTGAGGCCATCTCTGGTGTGAGAAACTAAAAGTGTAAATAAGGATTAAAATGTATAATAGATAATGTAAAATAGGAAGAAAAGGTCTAAAGGAGTAGGGGAAGTGGGAGGGGTAGGGGAAGGAAAGAAGGGAAAGGAAAAAATATGAGAAAAGGAAAAAATGGAAACAAAGTCTCTGTAAATAGGGAGGGGTGGAGGGGTGAAGGGGTGAAGGGAGGGCAGGGAAACGGGGAAAAATAAGAACCAAGATACACCATGTAAAGGTACAAGTTCCCAATGATGGATGTAACTGTATTGTACACCTAAAATGTACCAAAAAACTTATTGAGAAAAAAAAATAGGCATAGCCCTAATCCCCAGAGGACTGCCTCTCTGTCATGATTTCTCTCCAGAGCGTCTTGCAGGCTGGCCTCTATTCTTGGAGATATGCTAATTGAGGCTCTGAAAAAGGAAGGCCAAGAGCTAAGTATGGTACAAGGGTCACAGGAGCACAAGAAGGCCCAGTACATAGTAAGAGTGGCTCACCTGGCTCTGGCCACTTCCTTGCACTTCCAGTTCACTACCACTGGTGCTGGATGAAGTTAAGTCTAGGGGTTGCCTTAGATTGGGCACAGAGCAAGAGGAATAGTTGGGAACACCTTTTTTCCCCATGTTTCTTTTCAAAATGGGAAAAACTGTCATAGGTAGACATCTGCAGCAGGACAGGTTAAAGCCTTCTTCCCCCACTGTTTGGAATTCATACTTAGCTCTAAAGAGCGCCACCTAGTCTCATTCTACACCCAAACCTGGCCTGTGCACCCCCCCGACCCCTGAAATAGTTAAAATTACCTTTAACAGTCTGCACCTTTAGAGGGGACAGTGACATATGTTTATCAGAACAGCAGTTTTGGCTATCAGCTGTGGCTATCAAACAACTGTGGTTATCAAAGCAACAGTGAGAACATTGTATAGCTGAGTATTCCAATCAGATAAAACCATCAGCCTTAAAAACTGTCTTCGCTCACAGGTGTAAAAGGTTTTTATTCCTTCTGATTCTTATTACAAGAGATCTGTTAATTGTCCTAAAAAGTTCTGACCAGTCTATTTATAGTCACAAACCTAAAAAAACTGCAAAAGGGTTATTTAATTCAACTTGCCCAAATACATCTGAGTACACTCTGGTTTATTAACAGTTGTTTTATGTGTGCTTGTCTGTCCATTCAATCTGTAACTGGGTGGTTAAGATGCCTACAGCTGTTTTGTTTGAGTCCAACAATTTTTTTCTCTTTTTGCTTTTTTGAGATTTCCATGGAAAACAGTTTATATAGGTTAAAATATTTGTGTCTACAATTTAAGTTGACTTATAGATAAAATAAGTGTCATTAAAGTTAAGGGCATGCTTCCACTCGGGTTCCCAGCCAATCAAAATGATGTTGACACTGATTTTATAAATGGAATGCCTATTGTCATCTGTGTACAATAACTTGGGAGTTATATTTATTTCTTCTATATCAGATGCTTTCTCTTAATAATGATAAAATCAGCCTCTGATGTAGATTATTCTAGAAGCTTATTTCTAAGCATGCTTAAATTTAGCTGAAATCCTATGAGGAGCAGACCCTAAAGCTCCCACTGTGTCCTTATGGCACAAACCAGGTCTGACAAGTTGACAGTAGATGGCCTTGGAGAAGGTTATGGTTATGAAACTAATCTGTTTAAATCTATGTCCCAGTTACACTGGTAAAGGACATTAGGCTGCCTATCCAATGTTCATATCGTTGCCCCTTGATGCTGCTCTTTGGGGGACATGAAGTCCTGATTTTGCAGCAGCCATCACTCCAAGGGGCTGCAGGAGGGATCTTGTGTCCAGAAGCAAAAGGCCCGTCAGAGTTCAGAGTGCATGCCCCCACAGAAGACCAAAAATCCATGGCTCAAATAGAATGTGTACAGGGCTCCTGGCAATGATTTGTCTTTTTCTTCATAACCTGTTCTCTCTCTGCAGATGAAGAACAATGCCTGTAGGACTCTTAGAAAAGCCATCTCCATGAGCCACTGCCTCCTTCTCAGCACCAGTATTCTGGAAAGAGCACACCTCATAAAGTCCTCCTGAAGGGCAGAGATGCTGGGGAATTTATCCACCAACTCTTTCCCCTGTGGGCTCAGAGGAGCTCCTGAACATGGACATCAGCTTCCTGTCACTGGAACAGAGCCTTCTAAAAGAAATGGTTCATTTTGGCTCATGATTTGGGAGGTTATGCTCATCACACATTTGGGCCTGAGAGGAGGTAGAACATTGCACTGAGAGTGCATGGTAAAGCAAAGCTGCTCACCTCAGGGCCAGGAAGTGAAAAAGAGGGGGTGGGGTTACACAGTCCTCTCTGGGACTCTAAGCAACGTAAGGACCTGGGACTTGGCCCGACCTGGAGTTCCCACTGTCTCCCAGTGTGCCAGCCAGGGACCAAGCCTTTAACACATGGGGCACTTTGGAGGACACTCAATATCTGAACTACAGTGATGAGACAAGCCTGCCCTGTCCAGAGAACACCCTCAGGCAGGGCAAGGACAGAGGCTTTTGGCTGTGGGCAACCTGCCTGTTGGGACCACAGGATGAAGGGATGTTGTAAGGCATAGGCAGCTCTGCTGCAGGGACTGTGCCTTCCCCTTTTGGCATCCTCAGTACTGAGACCACATCTGGAAGTTCATGAACACTCAGCAAATGTTCAATGAACACAGGAATGGGTGAGGAATGCATGCACAGAAAGCTTATTTTTTTCAATTGTTATTGTTTTGTTAGTACACGTTTGCAGTACATAATAATTACTTTCCTTGTGGAGCGTTGCTACATCTCAAGGTGTGCGTGACACATCTCAATTCTTTTTTCATCCCCTTATCCTCCTCCTCCTCACTCCTTCCATCTCATGCTCCCCCTCCTTATTTGCAAAAGATCTATCTCCCTATTTCCTACTATCTATCTTTTATTTTGCACTTTACTTATATTTCAAGTTTCACATGTAAGAGAAACTGTATGATATTTAAGCTTGTGTATCTGGTTCACCTCAATCAACATTATGGTCTCAAGATGTATCCGTTTTGGGCTGTTGTACCACCCCCACCAGGACAGAGGAGGTGAGCTGCACAGGCACCAGCAGCAACATCCCTCTCCCCCTGCCCCCCCCCCGTCTAAATGAGAGACATGTAAAGAAGTCTCAAAAACAGACTTCCAGATCACCTACAGCAACCCCAAAGGGAAACAAAATGGAACACTCTGATACTCAACCTGGACTCCCTGAACTGGCAACAAAAGAGGATCTGTAAAAAATTACATTAGAAATAATTTCTCAGATAACAGCAGAGATTGTGCTCATAGTGCAACACATGATTAATAAATCTAGAGAGGAGCTGAGGAACATGATGGAATCCCAACATAGGAAACAAATGGAATCCATAAAACAGA